GGCGAGTTCCGGGTATTTTGCATGCTGTGAAAACGCTCCTTTGGAAGAGATAGTAGATAGGTAAATCACTAAGCCATCAGGATATTGTGAAACCCAGATAGATCGTAATCTGAATGCATTGTAGCTGTATCTATTAATTACTTTCTAAATTTGTTTTACTTGCCTAGCCATTTAATTGATGTGGACATGAGGTCCACGATATCGGTTTCGGAATTCCGACTCGATCAAAACGAACACGGTATCCACGGTAGAGGGTAGTTGTGTCTACCATTGTCTAACACTATTTTAAATACAATCATAGATCAAACATAGTAGCCGGGCAGTCTGACTGCTAGTCGCCTTTGCTTACGGTGGCATCTGTCCGTGTTGTGCAACGAGATACAAAAACTGTAGATGCAGTGTTTGTCGATTTCTTCAAATGCTGTCACATCGGTGATATGTATGCATCTGGTGATGATAAAGTGGTTGAAAATTCACCATCTCTGAATTGCTCTGGGCTTTAAATTCCGAGTTTCGAGCCTCACTATCACTGTCCCGACCTTTGTTTTAAGTCGCTTTCTGTCCTTCTGCTCCGCACTGCATCTCATGTTGTTCGCCGTCACAAATTCTAGGACCGGGTTCTCGTAACCCCAACAGAGAATTTTCATTAAAATGTAGTTCACTCCTACTGTTCACCTCAGCAGCGAAGATTTGTGCAGACATTTCCGTTTTTCAGTGCGATGGTTTTCATAGTTTCCATTTAAACCCCTGACAAACGATCTGTTATATTGCGAACCACGCTGGTACACACTACAGCGTGTTATGTTCATCATACTGCTTCTTGGTTATTTTATCACGTACTTGTGGTGATAACAGGCCAAATAGCAATGCTCTCCACTACCACCAACTGGGGCTTCTGGTACTGAGTTTGGAAAGCACAGCTTCTCGGGCTATTTTGCCGGTGACAGAAAATAAACCAGCGGTCGCTTGTCTTATCCGGATAATTATCAACATCGTCGTACAACGAGACGTTGGCCTTTCCCTATTACCACCGACAAAACTAGGTCACTTAATGATGATCGCGGACTCAACAAGTTCATTCTTCAAGCATTCGAATGAGTCTAGCACATCTACCGGAGAGGTAAAGTTCTTTCATGAACGACCGGATGGATTTTGTCTGAAAGTTTCAGGGTTCCGGTTTCTTGCATGCGGGCCTGTCTTCAGATACCTCCAAGCCGAGAGCATCAATAGTTCTTGTGTACACATTGCTTTTCCGATTCACTGGTATGCTCTATTGATTGGTCTTATCTAGCGTCTTATCTGTCATATAATCGTGATAGTACACATCATTTGCACAGATACTGAGGTTGTCTAAATCAGTGGATGTATCTGATAAGTGTCCATTAGGGAATGGCTTGTTGACTGGATTTTTATCACTTCGGTTGAAGTTTACCGATAATTGTCATACGCAAACGGTGATACAACGATGTACAACTAACTATTCACAACAGCTCATAGTCTGTCCGGAATTCTCGATATCTTGTTATTGCTCAACTTTATTTCATTGGTATTTTGGGACAAACCGTCTTGGGATATCCATCGTCCATCACAGTATTATATGATGTCGAAGTTAACTGTTAGTGTTCGTTTCCCCATATCACACCATACGTGATCACTGGTCGGCTGATGTCAGTTAACTTAGTATTCGATAACTTCATGAAACTATCCCGTGTCGCTTTGCACATCTATGGGATTTTACATCCCATTTTTGGAACTGCACGTGTTAAATACGCCCAATCTTTCATCATCGTGATCCATGTTGTTTTCTCATTCCATCAGGAGATTTGCACAGCGCAAATCAATTATCCAAACAATGCGGTCACACTGACTCCTCCGGTTGGCCGTGCTCGAAAAAATCGGCTGTCTTTGGTTCGGCGCCCAACGACCGGAGAATTGAATACCACCCCGGTGCGCAGAATGTGTAAGTAATTGTATTCATTTAATTGCAATAAACAGTTTTGTAATGACTGATGGAAGGCACTAGACAACTCGTTTAGTACCCATCAGCGGGTACATCTTTTTGTCTCTGTCTGGACTCCAACCGCGAACCTTCGGGCTGGCAATGAAAATCCTTACCCAAACATGATACCACCCTTGTGCAAATGGCCCTGGCAAGTCAGATGCTGAATGTTTGGATTGGCCTAATCGGTTTTTCACAGGCATTAGGCATTGTTGATCTTGGGTGCGAGCTTCACTTCTGGGTTAATCGTTAACTGCCCACCAGTCAAATTCATTTAATTGCAATTGTGAGGAATTATTGATCTCCCAAGGTGTTAAATCCATACCCAAGATCAACAGTGACTGAAATTCGAAAGGGGTGATCCAAGTATTTACTGTCTGATTTTATTCACAATTTTTTCCAGCCAGTCTGTTAACCTTGGTTGGTTGGCCGAAGTATTTAATCATTCCGTTCTATCGGTTGCTGATGAAATGTATCCTCTCTTAAAGATTGATGGTCGTGATCGGAGGATGTGTGTGCTTCAGTGATCTGTTCTTTGAACTGAAAAAGGTGACATCCCAGTATCACTAGTCTGATTCTGAATGATACCGCTGTTTGCGAATTCTTCTTGTAGCCTTATCCAAAACTCAGGAGCTACTTACACGATCGGCACCAACGGCAGCCAATCTGGCCAAACGTGTCCAAGTTCATTCACCCAATTCGAGTTTTCATAACCCTCTCAGTTCACCCCATACACCTCGGGGTGGAATCTTGGCTAAAGCGCTCGGACTGAATTTGACCACTGAAAACTCTTCAATCTGGTCACCACTTAAACGGTCTGCTGATCCTCTACCAGCCAAACCGTTGGTCAAACGTCGTCTGTTCGCTGGTACCATGGACCAACAAGAAGCCGCAATAAAACCGGAGCCAAAGGTTCGACGAAAACGTCGTAATTCCGATACTGACACCTCCGAGCTGACAGGTCGATCTCCGGTTATGGCAGATTTCGAGGAGTCTGCTCAGTTTGTATTCATCCCACCTAAACAAGAGAGTAATCGGAAGAGACGCCGAACCATGACCACACATCAAAAGGATCGATTGGATGAACAGCGGTGAGTTAACCTATATGTTGGGTGTACTCATCATCATCGTAAAGTGAAATACAGTGAAACCAATTTCACTGATCGCTGCTAAACTCTCAATGCATTATTGAATGTACTACTCGAATTTTTCAATATAACCAATAGTTCTGTTTATAAAAATACCATCTGTGGTAGAATTAGCTCTCTATAGAGTAAATGAGGTGTGAACTGAAAAACGAGGAAATACTCCTCTGTTTCCACCGGGTGGGTCTCATTAGCCTTGTGAATCCGTCGACCTTACCAAGGTTCTTCACCGTTCCTAACACATGCAGCCAGGTGCGAAATATTGGGATTAGTCTGTTCTCCGAGTTGGCTGCGGGTTATCCAGCTTGGGCCGGCTGTGGCTGATGAAGTGCGAAGCTCTCTCCCACCGTTGGGAGGAACCCCCGTTACCTCATTCCTACGCCCATCTAGTGGGGTTTCCTTGACCTGTTAACTACTCTTCTCCGTGTTCATTTCTCTCAGGGCTTGAGTGGCTAGACAGAACAAGCCAAGATGCAGCCAAACAACTGGCCTTGTAAAACTGTGCTTCGCTTGGCCCCTACCCATCGACTTTCAGGCACGATTTGAGGAGTCATCGTGTATAGCTGGCAGGGTCATGGAGGCACGCAAGCCATCACCCCACGTCTCGTCGTGATGCGAACTTCACTGCACTCTAATCTTGCTAGTTAAACTCGCCTTCTCAGGTGGCTCTCGTGTCTTCGACATTTATTTTACTTCTTCTTCCCATCTTGACATATTCTTTCAATTTTTTAAGCCTAGTCGGTTTTAAATGATTGTTTTTGGTTGAAATATTATCAAATTCCGATGGAACATCTTACACATTTGCAATCACCTTGCCTAGGAGTAACTATCTGCCAGTCACCTATACCGAACTGGATACTAGTCAACAGTCATGGCTGATTGGTCCCAATGGGGAATCGGATTCCCAGTCTGCCTCTCAATCTCAAATGAGCCAACCGTCGTGGGATCAATTTCGAGATGCACTTCGCAAGCGTCTTTCGACAGACACACTACCCACATCCGTGGACCATGATGAGCCTCAAGTGTCAACTCAGTCCCCGGTGCACGAATCCAGTGATGCACCGCCATCTATGGTCGTGAACGAGTCTCATCAAACCACAAACGCAGAGAATCCTATCATTCTAGATGGAACAAACCAGTTGAGGCTGGATGAAGCCGTCATGGATACTAACCCTCCGGAATCAGAGTGAGTCTTATTGTATACAAATACTTGAAATGTTTAAGCAGTCGTTTACATGGATTTATCCACGCACCATCTCAATGCACGTCATGCAGCAGATTCACGGAATTGATGAGGAACATCCGTGCCGGACTGAAGCACACCCGGCTCACACATCGGACCCTGACTGCCATAGCGGAAATACAAAGAGATAATCACACATTGATTGATATTAAGCAGTCATGTAAAGTCGTATTGCGGACTCCTTGACACATCTGTATATAATCTCATGATCTCTGAGAAAAGATACTCAAACGTGATAAAGCTAATAGATTGGACTGACCGATGACTAGGATATTGAAGTGAACCGGAAACACCAAACAATCAGGCCTGGTAGCATGTCAGTGTTGAATGAGTCTCTTTGCAGTTTATTCGGTTTCATTTCGACATGCCAGTGATTACGACATTGTGGTCGATCGGGTATTTTCAGTGACGTACCGTGAATTCCGTGTGTGGTTACGCGGGTGGTTTCAAAGAGATCGTTACCACGAAATGAGGATTTCCTCCTTGTTAATCAAACATTCTTTTTTCATGTGGCGCTCCACAGTTGGATTGCGTTGGTACAAGCTCTTATTGATTTTTGTTTTGTCGCTGGTTAGTGCGTCATGAACACGCGGAGAAGTTCAATAAGCGGTTATCTGTTTCGGACGAGACCGTTCGACTGTGACAAGTCTTGTTCGCCATTTTGCCACTTTCACTACATGTACTAGTGATCTGATTGAATTTTTATTCTTTTCACATGAATTATACTACGTTTCTTTTTCATACGTCAGCATTGTCTCCCGGAGATCGTTAGTACAATTTATGGTGCTACTCATTAGCAGACAACAACAATCTATGGAAAGTATATCGAAATCCTAAATTACAACGGTAGCGATATGTTGGTCAAGGGGTGGGGGCGAACCCCGAATCATCGGCACAAATCTACCGTGGTTCTCAGGTATCAAGTTCATACAAAAATGATTTGTTGATGGGAAATTATTCAGTTCACAATACGTGCTATCTACCCTCGACAAAATTTAATGTGAATCCTCGAGAATTTCGTTCCAGACAGCTGATGAACGCTTTCTTCAAATCCGCCTAAATTTTTGGTCTTGAAATTTTCGCCAAATTTCTGTATGAATGAACACTGTTGCGTTAGGCGAATGAAGTTTTCAGGTACCTCGAGCCGACCAATGTTCCGTCAATTAACACCCAATAGCTAATCAAAAATGTGCATGTCATGAGAACCAAAAGATTTCGGATGAAAATCAATAACTTTTTTCGTTACAAGATTTCAAAATGACACGGAAGTATTGCCAAGTTTCAAATTATTCACATTATCATGATTATTATTCACTTATTATATGATTTGCGTACACCCTTTTGAATTACAACATGTTTTGTTCCCAGAATATGTATACTACTCGTGAGTAGTACGATTATAAACATAAATTTCGCATTGGAAGCTGTGTCGATGAACTTCATTTTGCACCTCGTGCACCAGAAAAATTCAACATCATACAAGTTGTGTGGCGAGTACAGGGCTCGAATCACTGACTGTCGGATTCCCGCAGTTTGATGTTGATGACCCATGCCAGTTGGTGTATACCCTTTTCGTAGGTACCCTGGATACCCTTGCTTATCTCTCTCACTTTGTTTTATCCACCCTTGATAAGAAAGCACGGGTATGTACTCTAGACTACAATAATTCCTTTAGCGTGTTATTGGTGAATACCCTTTCTTCAGTCGTTCAATTTCCTACGATTGAACGANCTCATGATCAAGCATTTCTCCACCCGTCAGTATTTCACTTTTGCCCTCTTCAAAAGGTGTACTACAAAATGCCAATTTATTTCCATTTTACTTTTACCACTCACACACATACGGTCTGTACGTGTGAGCAACGATTTTCTTCTTTTACATATGCCCACGATCTAATAGTTCTAGTGCCCTAATCAAGCCTATCATCTCAGATCACTCTGCAGCATGGTAGACTGGTTTCAACAAACGAAACTTTCTATGAACCGCAAAAAGCATATTGACGTAATCTTTCATATTTGAAAATGTCTTAAGTATAATGAACTGTCAAATGACAGCCTCTTACTATCTATCTTAAAAGACGGATTGCCATCCTTCTGCCAAATACCCTGGGTGCTATTTTCAACCGTTACCTCACCGGATCTAACCAAGCCATTAACGTTTTTTCGAACGGTTGGGGAGTTTGCGTTTCATGTTTCACGTGTTACATCACTTCCTATTAGCTAATCATCTCACGAAACGCATTTTTCGGTCCTACTTTTGGGTCCCCCGTGATATTCACTCGCCTTTTTGTTTCATAAGAACCACAAACTCATTTTCCGATTCCTCTCTATGTATCAGCTTATGGGACAATGTACGGTTGCACACCACACTTACTGTAACGCATAGGCGTTCCAATGATGCACGCATAGGGGTAGATTGCGGCTCTCTTGACCTGTAACTCACAAACAATAAACTCATCGCTGAAAAATATCCACAGAATTCTCATCTAGATCTATGATAAATACGATTGGCTTACAATCCCTTGTGTCCCTACCAATGGATATAATATTTCATTGTTTGACCCGTTGTCATTGAATATGATCGTTCAGCCTATTCCGTATGGTTGTACGTTCTATAGAAAAACAGCGGGCTCAGCCGGGATTCGAACCCGGGACCACTCGCACCCTAAGCGAGTATCATACCCCTAGACCACTGAGCCACGCCTCTACGCGCTCACACCTCCCATTATCACTCTGCTTTCCAGAACGGTGGATGTCACATCGGCTACGGTAAGCTACATACTTGTTTGCATGTTTTTCCAATGTCGTAGCAAGATCAATCATATTCATCCATTGGTATTCATAACAGTCCGTGCTCGTATGTTGCCCACTGACGCGTCCGAGAATTATCTTAGTTAAAAGTGGTCTACGAGAATGAGAGGAAAAGCAACGCTTCAGTGTAGTACACCTTAAGCAATTTTTGTATGCTCTTTCTCTTTCGTTGTTTTATCGCAATATCAATTTCTGTGTTTTCGTGACATTCCTGATTTTTTTAAATGCAACTTCATGTGGCCATTGTTAGGCTAAGGTACATGATTACTTCGAGATAATCTGAATTTGTTTGTTGGCGTCATATTTTTTTAAATATTTATTTATGTATTTAGTCAGAAAACCGGCCCATAGAGAACACCACTGTGAAAGACAACGAGGCAGATGTGGTCCCCATCGAGGTCGCTGGTCCAAATTTCTCCGCGGAACCCACCTCAGTCGAGCCAACAGACATTCCACCGGCCACCACCACTCCTCCCAACACACCGCAACGTCTTTCCACAGATGACCCGGGGTCAGAAAACACAACACCCAAGTCGTATTTTCAAAAATTTACCAACGGTTTGCGCACACCCGTAGAATCCAATTCTCCTGTTCCGATGATGTTAAGTTTAAATCGACCCACAAGTCCTCTCATTCGTGGTACGTGATTCATTTTTCTTCCTGTGGTTACGTTATAAGTCTTGAGATTCTGTTCAAACAAACACATTTCCCGGGTGAACAGATATGACGTGTAAAGTATACCCGAGCAGTTTGTCTGTTGAGTCCTTCAGGGGAATACAGCCTCCGGTTTTCCTTGGCAATCCGAGACTTACCTGTGCTTTTAAGAATCTGATATATTTCGTATTCATTGACCATCAAACAACAGAGTGAGTCTAACAATCGCATAGAAAAATTGAAAGTTACAAACAAGATAAGAGAGTGTTTTGTGATAACCGACAAAGAGCACGGAACAAATGTTTCTTTTTCAGTCATCACAAAACATTTCCATCGCATTTGAATGCATTTACCTCTTAGGGGATTTCCGATTCCCCAGGGGGTGAAACCTACACCCAAGACAACCAAGAGTGGGTTCCCCTCGTGGTTAGTTTGTAATCTGGGATTTCTAACTCTTCAGGCTACCGGTTTCTTGTCGATCTGGTTTTCGCTGAAGAAAAGCTCGGATCGGATGCCGGACTCTGGTAAACCTCAGGCAGACTAAACCGAAACCTAAAATGCTGAGCGAGATGGCCTTCGGTATGCAAATACAGCTACCCGGATGCATTGGATCCGTGTATCGAATCCCAAAATATAATCATCAACCACACATACCTTACAATCTGCACCTGCCTATGGAGGAATGTGACCTAAGAAAGCCGAAGATTATTGTGCACTTTTCATGAAATTCGTGACCGACGGTTAGAGATACTGAGTGTCGTAGACAGTGGCGTTCGTGCATATCCTCAATTTCTTTGCAACCCTAGACCACTGAAATTCCGTATTTTCTGTTCGACTTTACTTTCAACTTTCTTGTCCTCCTCCTGCTGTTCATCGAAATGGTCAGACAAAAGACAGCAACCGAAATCAGTGCACGAAAGTACATGGCTGATGGTTGTTCAAACTGAAACAAACTGCAGCGGTGAAATTGGAATTTAGATAAAGTGTATTGAATGCAAGCAAATCGGAACGCAGTACCAATTGGCTGTCAACAGTGTACGCGCTGGTTGGCCAGTGGAGGTTCCGCGGTTCCATCCCTAACGTTCTAAACATTTCTATGGCAGCGGTACAATGCAGTTATACGAATACAAATCGTAATCATAGCATTTAAACTCCGTGAAATACGCTATCAGTATATATAAATTTAAAGACTATGTTCGCCTAAGTATGCAAGAAAACGAAAGTTTAACCATAGGAGAATAAACCGCGAAATGCTACTCACAAGTAGTCTAATGTAAATGAGGAAGAAACATCCAATTAAGAATGTTAATTGCTAGGGTTAATCTGGTTATGTAGAGTGAAACAGAGAATCCAAGTCAGCCAAGTCACGTTTCTGTGAAGAACTCTGGATATGTGAGCAATCAGTTCGCCAGTTTGTTCGCAGCTCCCATTGTTTGCATGTTGAAATCACTACCAGGTGTCCGGTTTCAATTTTTGAGTTTTTTTTAAATTTATTACACACCTAGGTGTGATGAACAGCAGACGGGGTAAACCCCATAATCATGAGGACCTTCTGTTCTGTGGTTGAAATCGGCAACCTAAGCCCCGGAACTTGGAGTGGCGAACCACATAAGGCCCCGATAGGTTAGGCGTGGTATTGAACCGGACGACAGCAGAGCTGCCTACCACCAAATAGAATAACAGTCATCCAACCCCTATCTTATAATACTCACATTAGGTTGATTTTTGTGTCTAGTATGCTATCTGTACGTCCACTATACTTTGCAACAGGTATCGGATCTAGCCGAGCTCAACGAATGCTTGCCTTGGGCTTGAAGAAAGCTGCTGAACAAACGGCCCGCCAGAAGTCGAACGTTGACTTACCCTCTTCCGAGACCAACTCGCCGGAATCAGTTGCGCCCGAGTCTCCTCTCACCGTACGATCAACCAACGTTTCGGATCAAACCGGTTCACCTTCTGGTATGCGTATTTCTGATTTCGTGTGTTTTTGTGTGTTCCCATCAATTCCCTTTTCCTTATCCTGTTCGTCCGTTGCTCTCATCACATTAGCAAACCACGTTTGATTAGCGAAGGACTTATCCCAATACTTTCGAATCATCCATCTTCCGGCACATATTCGATTATCATACTCTGCGTCTGAATCATCTGAACTGGAATGTAGGCTTGACTCGGATAGCATTTATTCAGCTAAGCAATGTAGTTCCGAAATAACACATTGAATCTATTGAACGCTAATCACGTTCTGCTACGGTTTAGCATCGGTCGCTAGCCGCGGAAAAAAAACGGCTAGCCTATCGTTTAACAACACCGTATGGTTGTTCACGTCCTTCTTTCTCGTCGCACTCGTACAGTGAGTGAAATAGAAGAAAACGATCCTGATGGATGGATATTGCTAAACACGATAAGGATTAGGGTTCTCAGTCGAAGCCCCTCATTTTGGACAGTGATCTTAGTGAGTGAAGCGAAGTAGAGTCTCAGTTATTTTAGGTTAACTGTACTCAGTCTAACCACTCGCCTGATAAGAATAAACCTATGCACTTCTTTAGTTCACACCATATCAATACGCAGTCTCTCTTTGGGTTGTTTGTATATGTTTCACTTGTCATTTCGCGGAAGCACTTCCTAGTTTATTTATTCCACGTGCACAAAGCTTCATGTTTGTTTTATGTGTGCCGAATTTCGTTATATGCGTTATATGGTGAATATTGTTCTCACAAGTTTATATTTTCCACTCGTTATCTGCAGGCATTATGCGCAACTTGTGGTCCCGAAAGAAGCCACAGCGCGTTTCGTTCGCCGAGCAGCCGGTCGTGTTTACATTTGGTAGAGCATCTCAAAGCCCTGTTGGGGATAGTGATTCACCTCAAGTTACCTCTGAACATCAAGTCTCAATGAAACCGGTTAGCGCATTGCAGGATATCACGGGGACGACTCTGAACGCAAATTCTTCGGACAGAGCTGTCATTATTAAGGCCACCATCGACGAGAGTCCTCCTAGCCAAATGCCGACAGGCACCAACTCCGACCTAAAGACAAAGCAAATGGACGTTCACGTCGGCAACAGGAGGTTATCACTTCCCTTGGTTCGTCGTGTAGATTTAGATGCCTCACAGTCATCTCAAGAGGGGTATGTTCTTTCTCATTACCTCGAAAATCTCTTTTTTTGCTTGATTTTTATACAGTTCAATCCTTTTGTACTGTTTTTTTTTACCACAAATAGACCGTAAGCGTGGTTGACTGTTGTCCGCTCAGCTTCACGAATCGTAAGTAGTTCAGCGGTTTGTTTATTTTTCACTACCACACACACACTCGTTTGTCGCTGTGTGCGAGCCGCATCTACATTCGTAAGTTTGCTAACCAATGTAAAGTTATGACAAGTTATGATCACAGGAACCGGCCATTTAGTCATAGAACCCGATCGCCACTTCAGAATCCAGATAGCTAGTCATCACCCATATATCAGTTGACTGTTTCTGCTTCCCGCGCAGTTTATTTTCACTTTTCTTTTTTCCTCTAGAGCACCCGCCCGAAAGCCTCATTACAATCGGAGATGATTGTCTAGGGTTGTGACTGATAAATCCTCACTTACACTTCGCGAAATAAATATATTTACACACGCCCAAGTTCAGACTGTGTCAAACAAATCACGGTACAGTAATCTGTACACGAAGAAAAAATCAAAGATCTGTTCGAGGGCATGGTAACGCTAGGTTCCCTTGGCAAATAAATTTTCACAACTGGAGCCTTCGGCTAACCAAAGCTCTCTCTCCCTTTACGCCTTCTTCCGGCCCCGTAATATTCACTCAAACAACTTGTTCGCTACTGGCCGAATTCTGCTGCCAAGTGGTGCGTTGAGTAGTTTATCATCAAATTCACTGCAGATTCTGAAGCCTCTTTAATCGCTGAATCTAGGGCCTTCAACGTAAGGACTCTGATGCAGTTAGTCTTGGAGTTGACAAAACTCCTGGGCTCAATATGGGAAAGAGAGGAGGTCCCAGCTGAATGGTGTGAGTCGGTGGTCATATTGATTTACAAGAAAGGTGATAGATCCTCTTGTGAAAATCATAGAGGAATTAGTTTAGTCAACATCGTCTCTAAACTTCTCGCTAGCATCATACTCTGCACGCGAACGGTGCACGCGTGAGAACTAGGCTGGTCTTAGACCCGGTCGAGGTTGTATCGACCACATCTTCACTCTGCGCCAAACTCTGGAGCATCGACATTCTTTTCGTAGACCCACCATCTCTGTCTTCCTAGATCTGAAAGCGGCTTTCGACTCAGTCGACCGCTCTAAACTCTGGCGCTGCCTTTTTCTGAAAGGTGTGCCCGAGAAGTTAATTTCAATATTACGATTGCTTTATACTAATAGCCGAAGTCGAGTCCGGGCTTACGGCACTTGTTCTCCCGAGTTCACCACGGAAAGTGGTGTTCGTCAGGGTTGCCCTCTTTCTCCTTTTCTATTTAACTTTGTTATGAATCTGATTATGGAAACAGCCCTATCCTCGTGCGAGGATAGTGGCATCGATTTACTTCCAGGTGGCAGGCTGTCTGATCTGGAGTTCACGGACGACACTGTGCCACTAAGTGAAGATGCAGGTAAGTTGCAAGCTTTTCTGGAAAGTTTGAGTGCTAGTGTAGCGATGTTCGGTATGCATTTTGCACCTTCAAAGTGTAAAATGCTACTACAAGACTGGGTTAGTCCAGCACCCAGCCTCACTCTTAATGGAGAAGTAATAGAGCAGGTGGATAAGTTTTGTTCTTTGGGCAGCTACATCTGACCCGGTGGAGGCATCACGGATGAAGCGTCAGCTCGCATACAGAAGGCTCGGTTGACATTTGCTAACTTGAGACATCTGAAGCGCAGTCATGACATCCGGCTGTCTGTGAAGGGTCGAGTGTATGCCGCGACAGTTCGACCAATCCTGCTATACGATGCAGAAACTTGGCCATTAAGAAAACCAGATAAAGAGAGACTGTCGGTGTTTGAGCACCGCTGTCTACGCAGCATTGCACGAATCTGGTGGGGTAGCCGGATGAGCAATGCTGAGGTGAGGCGCAGAGTTTTGGTTATCCGCGGCCGCCCACTAGAGCAAGTGGTCGACCTCCATGTATCACGTTGGTTGGGACATGTGTTACGCATGTCACCAGATAGGTTACCACGGCGAGCGATGTTAGCCGAAGCGGACACCGAGTGGAAAAAAACCCGAGGGTGGTCAAGTTAAGACCTGACATGAGGGTATGAAAACCCTAACCAGGAAACTGGGTCGCATAGGTCCTGTTAGGCTCCCTGGCTGGGGACCTCGGGATGATCGTAACCGATGGTTAGAGACACTGGGTGTCGCAACTAGTGGCGTTTGTGCATCTCAATTTCTTTGCAACCTTAGACCACTGAACTTTTCCATTTTCTTTTCGACTCCACTTTCAACTTTCCTTTCTTCTCCTATTCTTCATTCCAATGGGCAGCCAAAAGACAGCAACCAAAACGGGCACTCGAATATGCGTGGTTAATGGTTGTTCAAACTGAAACAAACTGAATCGCTAGCACTTATTCAAGATCCAAGTATTATAAGCCACTCAAATGTGCCGGATTTGCCTCCGAGGTACTTCCTGTACACATCAAGCAATGACGAAGGCCGTTCAGTGTGCCAGCATGGAATGAGCATTATTATAATACAGCCGATGCATCACTAATCGATTGGATCTTTATCACCAATCGCCTATGTTGTCTGCGGCTCCTGTGCTATGAAT